CCCCCGTCGACGATGGGAACGGAGGCGCGCGCGAAGTAATCCGCGCAGTACCTGGGGCGCAGATCTGGCCGCGACCGGGGGCGGCACCGACAGCGGCGGAACTGCGGGCGCAGCGGCGCGCAGAAGGATGGCAGGCCGCGGTGAGGCGACCAGAATGGCACAATCAACAGTTGGCAGCAGTCTTCGGCGACCTGGATATGGGGCTACCGCAGGAATCTGCCTGCACTGGGTTCCCGTCAGCGGCGATGACGCCGCCGAGCGCGGCAACGCCCGACCCGTGGGCGCGCCAGATCTACGAGGACATCGAGCACGTGGAGAAGACCGAGGAGGGCGAGAAGGTGGTGGACCTACAGGGGGGCACCTACATTCGCATTGTCGACTTGGAGGGCTGCGCCAGCGCGGCCTTCATCCTGCGGGGCTTCAGCCAGTTCCGCGGGGAGCGGCCCATGTGCGCGAGGAGCCGCGAGCCGAGCGCCATGGCGCCGGAGGAGGGCGAGCGGGCCGACAGCGACCGCGAGCGCTGCCTCGCGGATGTGGATGGGCTGCCGCGCGGAAAACGCTTCGCGGCAAAACGCGCGCTTCTCGTGCATCGGCGCCAGTCAGAGGGGGGCAGCGCGGCGGGGGAAAGACTACGGAGATCCTGACGATGGCGAGGCAATGCCTCGCATGCCGCTCGACGCTCAAAGATCGACAGGTAGCAGTGCGCCACCTGCAACGTGCACTTCAGTTCGGGCAATGCCGCGTCGTCCCCTCGCCCTTCATTCATCGCCTCCTCGGAACGACGACGAAACAGTGCCCGTCGCGCCCTTACCTGGGGCAATTTTGGCGGTTCGATGAGCTCCAGGCACATATTACAGCGCACCTGCCCAGACCTCTACCAGAGTTTCGGTGGGACTTGCCGCTGCCGCACCTACTGCGACATGGCGGGCGCGTTCGGCATGGCGCCAGCGGGCGCGGCAGGCCCTGCGGAGGCAGAGGCGCCAGCAGGGTGCGGACGGCAGCGCGATGACGGAGACGGGCCAGCAGCCGGCAGGGGCAAGACGCGAGGACGCAACCAGAACAGCCGCGTGGCGCCGCAGGAGGAGCTCCACAGCCTCGAGGAGATGGGCTCGGAGCAGCTGCGCACCCCGGTCCCAGTACTTGCCAAGATGGTTCTCAGCCTCGCGACGCGGACCAGGCGGGTGGAGGCGGCGACGCTCGCGGCGATGATCATCGAGGCCAACAGCTTGCCAGCGGTACGCGCGTGGGCCAGGGTCAAGGCGTGGGCCGATCAGGTGCAGGAGATGAGGCCCAGGAAGAAGGGGGCGAAATCGATACGAAGTTCAGGACGATCTCACGCGCGGCGCTGGTCGGCATCTTCGAGGGCTGCGACGAGGCAGAGGTCGAGGGCGGCCGCGAGAACATGGAGGACCTGGCAGCGCTGAAGAAGGCAATCGGAGACATACCGACACGCACGACGGCGGGCGAGTTTCCACTCGTGACGGTGCAGACGGCGTTCAAGGAGTCGGACGCGAAGTTGGCGGTCTTGAAGGTGCCCGAGGTCGGACTGCTCCCCGCCTGCTTGGAGCAGCTCGGCGGGGTGCTGAAACAGGGGGTGTCGCCGATGAGCCACCTCGAGAGGATCCTCAACACGTGCCTGGACGATGTGAGACGGACTCGGGCGGGAAGCAAATCCGAAGACCACCTTTGACGGACCGGAAGGGAATTCGAAGGCCAGTTTTGATGGGCCGGAAGGAGCCCGACATCGGGTCGGAGGGAGATTCGAAGACCAGTTCTGAAGGGGGGAGGTATCTTCGGATCGCCACGATAACGCTGCACCGATGGAGGCGCCAACGCACGTGACCACTCCCGACGGGGAATCGAGAGCGCGAGCTGCTGCCGCAGCAGGCGGTCGCGACGCAGACAAAGTACCAGATGCAGCCGACCAGCCTTCTGAACAGCCCGAGCGCGTACGCCCAGTGGCTAGGGTGCCAGTTGCTGCGGATCACGACTGCGATGGCCGTGGAGCACACACACAGAACAGGGTTGGAGCAGGCCGGCCGCCTCTGCCGCAGCTCCCAGGCCTGCGAAGCCTCTCCCACCTCCGCCGGGTAGGCCTGGACGCTGCGCGACTAGGAAGCGCCCCCCAAACCATGGGGGGACGCGCTGAGCA